TACCGTCGGTTGCAGTGGCTTCCCGAGCAAAGCTGAAAATCAAATTGAAATCAAAATTTGCTGTTATGATGTAACTTATTTTGAATACTCCAGTTGATCTCATTTTGGTTGACTTAACGGTTAACACAGCAAAAATGAGAGCAAAATTTTACACTGTTGAAGCAAACGGAAAACTAATTCTGCTTTCAATGAAATCAATTTGATTACTGATTTAGCATTCATAATGTTTAACTGAATACGGGTCTGGAGTAAATAGTTATCATTCATGTTTCTCAAGCTGAAAGACTTGGGCTCCAATCTCACCCCGGGCAAGTCACGAATGACCTAAAATGTGTTTAACAAATCAAATAAACAATAATCATTAGTTCAACGACAGAAGAATTTCAATTAAATTTTGAACAAGACGTAAACAGCAGAACTTCAAGTTAAGTTGCTTTCATTTAAAAAGTCTTGACTGCATAATGAAAGCACAATATGATATCAGACTTATGTCGCAACATTTGAAATCAAAATGAGTTTTCATTATGATAGGAATTGCACACTTTAATATTGATTTGCTTTTATTTTGTTAACCGACTTTGCTCGGGTTGCTTACTGAGCAGAAAAACGCGGTCCTAGGTCTTTTCATAATAAAGAGATTTATGGTAAATTCAATTGTGTATCGTGTATTTTGCGAAACTTGTCGTCGTCGTCACCGGTGCCGTGTTTGAATGGTTACAACAACTCTAGTTACGGTATGATGTGATATGAGGGGCTCGATGGTCTTAGAATGACCGTTTTTTATTACTGAGCAGAACATCATGAGTCTATTCTCAGGCCCATTCACATTCAATATTCGTCATTCGTTTTATTTGTTAATATGCCTACATGGTAAAAACAAGAACTCGATGTTTAAAAAGAAACTCGTTTGCCTAGTGATAACCGTTTTTTGCTTACTGAGCAGAAGACCATGGGTTCAATCCCAAGCTCCTTCGTGTTATATGCTGCAGACCCAACTCTCTATCCTGCACATCGTGGAAGTGCAGAGGACTCCTTGGCTTCCATCGAAGCGAGTCAACACATTCCTACCCATTCCTTTCTTGACTTGCGTTTGGACACGGCCTAGTTTGAGATCACCAGTTTTTACATATTGAGGATGAATTCTAGTCCAAAGCATCCCTAATAAACAAAAACCTTATCCGAACAATAACCCAAATAGTCGAACTTTTCCACATGTGGTTTGGATGATACCACAAACACGTCGTTAAGCAAAATAACCATAACACATTTATTAGAGATTGTCTATTGGTTCTCTGTGTAATTACAGCTGATCTGGAAATAACAGAGTAGCAACCGTGGGCGGTTAATCATGCTGAGGCAAAGCCATACAACTCGTGCAGCCAGAAATCTTTAAAAATCATCAATACAGATACTTCTACTTAATACTCACTTCCTAACTGTTCATACTTACTTCTATGTTACTTTCCGTTGATACGTAGTTTTCATGCACAGATCTGCAGCAACCACTCTAACCTACCTACGGTGATGTCAACATCGACATCGACTATGATAAAACCATTGAAGAATTAGAAGAGTTCCTTTTATTTAAACTGTTCTATAGGGGATTATTATACGTATACGAATACGGGAACTTTCCTGAACTTCGGCATGAGTTCCCTGAACTTCATCAGGACTTCCCTGATTTCCAAGAATTGAAATGAAAGGACTTCCCTGAACTTCAGCAGCCCTTCCCTGAACTTCGGCAGAACTTACCTGAACTTCGGCAGAACCTCTCTGAACTTCGGCAGGAGTTCTCTGAACTTCGGCAGGAGTTCTCTGAACTTCGACAGGAGTTCTCTGAATTTCGGCAGGAGATTTCTTTTATATGGCATTCTCATTCTAGGGTAATCCAAACAGTCAGTTTTGCATTTCCTTGTTTGGATTACCCAAGACTGAGAAAGCCATATAAAAACTCCAAACGTACCAGTCGAAAAACCTAATAAATCACTTCGTTAAGACTTCCCTGAACTTCAGCAGGACTTCCCTGAACTTCTGTAGAACTTCTCTGAACTTCGGTAGGAGTTCTCTGAACATTGGTAGGACTTCCCTATAGTGCGGAAAAAACTTCCCTGAACATCGGCAGAACGTCCCTGAACTTCAACAGAACTTCCCTGCACTTCGGAAGGACTTTCCTGAACTTCAGCAGGGTTTCCCTGAACTTCATCAGAACTTTGCTGAAGTTCGGCAGGCCTGCCCTAAACTACGGCAAGGCTTCCTTGAGCATTAGTAGGACTACCCTGAACTTGGAATTTTGGAATTGAAGTTGTCATTGCAGTAGTAGAATTATTATAATTATACAATAATATCGTGTTTGCGAATATGTTCAAAATTTCAATATTTCCCATATTCCTAATTTGCAATGCTTGTTGGTATTGGTGCATTTCGAATTTGGGTGTGGATTCAGTATCAACGGAAAAGCATTAACTTTCACCTTAAGGAGCAAAAGTCAAAAGTCTTTATATAGGTAGTCGATTCAAGTTGCGAAACATTATGTGTTTCGTTAATTACTATGGAATGCTAATTGGCGCGACAATTATGATTCAACGCGATGATCAATAATTATTAATGATTTCAAGCTGAACATTGCATGAGGTCCTAAGTAACATTGAAAGACTCTCTTCTCTAAAGACATTCCCAGGTATTTTTAGTACTCAGATCGATAAATTAAGCTTTTATCTAGCGTCTAATACGACAAACACAACAAGACACGGTTATGTGCTCAAGTTATTAACGAAAGAGAAAGTCGACAAAGAATCGATTAATGTTACTTAGGACCTAATGCAATGTTCAGCTTGATTTAAGCTTTATGATGTTTGGATTGTTGGAACGGTATAAGAACGCGTGTTGTTCTTGTTGCTGATGGTGTGTGTACTTATGATGCTATATGGTTGGTTGTGTTATGAGTGTTGAATCCAGGGGGCTGGCAACCCTATATCAATCCTATACGTTTGACAGTAGGCAACATCACGGGCCTTATTTAAATACGGCCCGGCTGACGTATACATGGTGGAAAGGGACGAAAAATCGTGTTATAAGCAGAAAGACAAGGGCTGATGATAGCATCAAAAACATGGCCGCCAGCCAGGCCCCTGGTTGAATCATTAGATTGCGCTTTGTGTATGGGTACAACAGCAGGCACTACACGGGAAAATTTATCGTCAATACTCAAAAGTACTGTCAATATTATTGATGGTGGTAGGGGGCAAAATGAAAATATTGCAGGGGAAACGCTCCTATAGTTGCGGTACGTTAGAAGCGTTAGGTTCCTATAGTTGTGCATGGAGACTCAATACACAACTATAGGAACCTAACGTTTCTAACGTACCGCAACTATAAGAGCGTTTCCCCTAGTAAATATTGGAGCAGAATCAAAATAGTTTGACTTCATGTTTCAATATTTCCCCTCATTTTCCGCTACTACAGCAGCAGATGGGACCTGTTCCTCGGCAACTTTTGTCAGAAAGGTTGTGATTTGGCTTGGAATATTCTATATTCAGTGAGGAGTGACACTGTATTCATGGCTCTACCGAAATACTGTTGAAAGTATTGATGGAAATATTGACGAAACATTTAAAGCAAACCCCACACGCATCAATATATTGACGCGAAGGGGAATTATTGACAATAATATGGATGATGTGAATTCAGAAATATTGTCAATCTCGATGTATTGACGTCAATATAGAATGTATTGACAATACGATTATTGTCAATAAAAGCAACCGTGTAGGGTTCACTTAAGACCAGCGCACAGAGCATGAAATTTACCACACGGTCTTTTACACACAGTATACGAAGCAGAATGAATGCGGTGCGGGCACTTAAATTCGTACGATGATAGCGAAATTGCACATTTTCTCAGTAAAAAAGCATTTAATGACGGTCATGGACACCGATAAAATCGTATCACAACATGAACGATAAACTACGCTTTGTAACTATTTTGTTCATGATAGAAGTTTCAATTAATGCGATTTAACTGATGCACCTGATGTGTGATTTAAAAGATAAACATTTCCCTGAGTAACTAATTTGATCTACTTTGTGTAATATTTTGGTATTGCCACCCAGCGCATCATCAATATTTGACGACTTGATGTTTTTAGAGCAGCCACGGTGATCACCACGGTGTTTTTCATACCGGTTATAGTCAAACGCAGTCGTTCTAAATAGAGTGGGAAGGATGTGATTGGTGTTTATTTTGCTCTTTTGCATTCAACTCGACGTGATCACGTGATTCCGATATCGATGCCGGAAACATTTTGTCAGCCACTAACGTCTAGTACATGTATCGTGAGTATTTTTTCGACGATTCATGGCTACTGGAAGTGTTTGTCATACTGCAACAGGTGAGCACCTTTTTCGGTTCTCGATACTTTCCACGGTTTGGCGCCAAAAACGTGATGAACTATCTTTATCTGTTGAATGAAATAAAGAGAGTCTGCTCTAATCAACAAAACCACATCGTGACCTCAAGTATTCATTTTCTCTCACCATTCACATCTCATTCGATCGGAATTCAACTCGTGAACGTTCAAACCAGCTCCCGCTTTATAAATACATACACGCAAAGTAAAAATGTCAGAACGAATTGCATTTTCGTTATGGATCACGAAGAGAAAATTCAATTAGAGATGTAGGCAAGTTTTCAGTAAAATGACGTCGAAATATTTCCGATCCTGTTTGGCATTATTTGGCTGCAGATTAACATGCGTTATTGCATACGACCTTTGTAAATTATGAACACTTGGCAGGTAGCTCATTTAAAATGTGGGGTTGTTTTTTTTTCACAAAATAGTATTGCGAAATTGGTTACAACATTTTGCGGAATTTCAAATATAAATTACGTAGTTTCACAAGAATGCGCCTATTGCACTTTTCGTACACTTTACATCTACGTGTACATTGTTCATCCATCACAAGGCGGCGTGATCTCATCCGTTCATTTCATTCCACTTCGCACTCTCGCGCAGCTCGGTGTAGTTTTTGATCAATCCATTCGAATCATCTAACAAACATGGAGGCAAGGTTATTTCGTCGGATCGGCACCGTTTACGTTGTGATTTGTTCCTTGGTCCTGGCCATTGTAGCCATCGGATACTTCCGAAAGCTGACGGCCCGCTACGAGGAAATCTGCGTCGATTCCTGCGAACATGGTAAGTGTCCGAATTCGTGTGATTCTAGTGGTGTTTACGTCGTTCTTGTTTACATTTTCACGCACGATCGATCAGTGAGAAGAAGAAATTAAGTTTGCATGATTCACATTTTTCTTTGTCTCCTAAATTGATCTTAATCATTACAGGAAGATTGATCAACTTGTTTCTATTTCCAGGCCTTGTCAATTTAGTGCTTCTTTCGATATGCACGATCGTTTGCGTTCTATCTACGTTTGTTGTTGTTTTCGTTCAAGTCGGAATCCGTGACGTGAGTATGAAATGCGAGCCAAGCAAGTTCATCCATTCCTCAGTGGGTTTCTTTCTGCTGCCGTCTATATAGAAAGCACCGGGCTACATTACCTTCAACAAGATATTTATGCTGGTACGCAACTGCGTTCTTTCGGTGAGGTGGATTTACGAAATCATCGAATTAACAATCTACCACATTCACGGAGACGCCCAGGCAGACACAGGCAATCAAGTGGCTACTTATTCGGTGCTCATTGTTGTTATTATTGCGGGTGAGGACGTGATTGGTCTTTCCTATTAGAATCGTGTTTTTCATGTATGGTTTGTTTTTCTTTTCATTTATCGGAATTAGTCATCACACCCTTAGAGCTGTACATACTGAACGGTATCGAGCGTAACACCAAACAAAGGCTTCGTGATTCTGAGGACATCAAGAAGGGTTTTACAAACGGTGGAGGCGTGGAGCTACAGCCAATGACTGTCAAAAGCTAGGACAGGAAGTCCTGAGTAATTTTACTGACAACTAAAATCTAGCTAAGCTCTCTTAATGGTCGCACAGTACCGAATCGGTTCTAGTCTAGTCGCATGTATTGAATAATCTGTGTTATCGTGCTGAGATGGAACACTTTTTCAATGTTCAACTACTCTCTAAGTTAATTATGTTCCAACAGATGGAACCCTATATTAAATTAATCATTTTGCGATGGGATCTTGATTCCCAAGAAGATTTTTTAAATAATTCTTCAAATGATGGACCGTATCATGCTAATGCTAAGGTATTATAATCATTGTTAAAAGACGTCAACTACTTAAAAAGCATTTTATCTACCTACCAAGTACGACTCAGTGATACATCTCTGAAACAGAACACTACCAAAATAATCGATTCAAGTCAAGGTAAACTGAAATTTTCCTTTTTCTGATATCGTGACATGTTAAGTATGAAGTTGATAAAACCACATATATTAGAATAATAAATTTACCAAAATTTCAATAATTCAAGGTTTTTTAGATGTTTTGAAAATAAAATCGACAAAATCCATTCGCCACTTCATTCTGCAGCAGCAGGTTCGTTCTCTACTCGTGACGCCAAAATGATAAACTTATCAAGCTGACCAAGTGACATTGATCGATTCTCTTCATCGACTTTCTCTTTCGTTAATAACTTAAATACAGAACCGTTACTTATCGTGAAACTAGCAAACCTATTTTCAATGCATATGCATATTATGTGATATGTAATATAATATATATGTATGCATATATAATGTTGGATATGCAATAACCTAAATATTCATAAAGAACCAAATTGTAGATTTCCTCGTAAATTTAAATAACCTCAATATTCCTTAACAACACAATAGTTGGGTGAAGAAGAATTGCAATACATATAACACACCATCGACTGGAAATGCTTTCGGCAACGTGGTGCTTTAGGTAGTGATGAAAGGTCGCTATAACTATTCCAAAGCCGGAGACAGTATTAGAGCAAGTCAAACACGCACTTTTTTGCTTGTGGATTTGAAGAAATACTTCAAATCTACACGTACATTGTAGGAGTTAGGTAAAGAAGTGTGCGTTTGACTAGTACTGTCGCATTATAATAGCCCTTCGCTCTATTTCAACTTCTATTCACTTTTCATACTGCCATACTCTAGCGGAACTCTTCAGACCATTATCTAGCTAATAAATTATCACACTAAAGCTTCATATTAGATAGCATTTCCAACCAATTTCCTTCATCAAATGACGTTTAGAATCCATATATGAATAAAAAATCTTTCGAAATTCTTAAATACTGCACAGACCTGGAATATTACAATCATTCCAATATATTGAGGCTACTTTACAGTAAAATAATTTATTGAAGAAACCGAAGTGAATAACGTGAGTAATATTTGTACTTATGGGCAGTTTTTAAAATATTATTACAAAACATCACCATTGACAAGACTCGTCATTCAAGTTTCTAAAAACACTGCATTCACTTGTCAGTAACAGTGTGACGTTACTCTTCTTATAAATTTGTTATGGTTGCTTTGCTTAACAACGTGTTTGGGGAATCATCCAAACCATTTGTGGAATAGTTCGATCAGTTGGGATATCGTTCGTTTATGTATTTTTATTATTAGGGTCGTTACTGAGTGACAATCGCTCCAGTGACGCGACCTGTTGCCAAGTGACAAAAAAGTGACTCTAGTGATAATCGCTCCAAATCGACGGAACGATATCCGTTTGTGTCGAAGTGGTGGCTGTTAATTGTCCACGCTGGTTACTGCAGATGATGCCACTGGTTTGTCTGTGGGTTTCTTGGACACACCTGAAAACCAATTGGATTCAAGAGCCGGATACGGATGTCGTTAGCGGACAATTCTCGCGTCAATTTTCAAATAAACCAATCTACATTGATCGATTCTCTTAATCGAATTTCTCTTTCGTAAATAACTTGGTTTCTAAAACGTTTCCTGTAATCTTTGTCGTATTAGAGGCTAGATTTTTGCTTCTTCCATCGAAGTGTATGTTGAAAATTTCCGGAAATATCTTAACACGGCCACGATTCAAAGAGAAATTATAAAGGGGAAACCTTTACATGGAATGCAAGAAATACGGCCCTAATATTTTTCGATACGGCACAAAATTTCCAATTGTTACGAAATTCTTCGGTCCACTCTATCTTTATCTATAGAATTGCTGTACCGTGGACCTCCGGTAATCCGACCGTTTTTAATCTTAACAATTTTTAATTTGAAATACGCTAATCTGCACGCAATGCAAACTAAAAATTGCTCAAACGTCATCCAGCATATGGAATGGAGACCCAAGCAACACAATTTGTCATAAACGGGTTAACATAACTTGTTTATGACGATATCAGTGGTAAACATTTACGTCTAGTCACTTATATATAACTTATATATACCAAAACAAGCGCAAGAGGTGGGATCTTTATTTATAATATATGCTTGCCTTGCGTAACTCTTTTATGACTATAACGCAACCTACTGTATTGGACATGTCATAAATTAATTTCATCCTTACTACGAATGGAATTTGTTGATCATCAATTTACACAACTTATTCTTTTGAGGAATTTTATCGTGCGAATAAAGTGCCTAAACTGAGATTCCATACTGCAAACATTGACGCGATTGCAAATTTATGGTAAATCGATACATTATACTTCTAAAAAACTCATTGGCTCTGAGAAAAAGCTTAATATAATAAATTGAATTGCATAAAAATTCCTGTATAACATTCCCCAACTTTGCAAAAAAACAAAAACAAATAGAATATCAACTTTCTTTTTTAATTATCTTACTTTTCTCTTTAACAAAACGTACATGTGATGTTGAAAGCACAAACTAAATGTTTTTTTAATTCTATACATTGCTTCATTGGTCGGATATATTGTAATGCAGTTTGTAGAATGCATTGAGAAATTTCATAATTGTTATCAAAGCATGTTTATAACACGAAAAACAAGAACATTACTTGTATCGTATATTGAAGTTATAATTAGGTATGGCAACTCTCAATTGCCTATTTATAACACTTTTATATCTGACTGTTTTTGATGAAAATTTGCTAGCCTTATATACAACATGTTTTCATATGTCATTTTTGGAAACATGAGTACAACTGAAATATAACTTATTAATAACATGTTATCAATAAGTTATATCTCAGATGTATTCATGTTTCTAATAATGACTTATGAAAACATGTTGTACGTAAGGCTAGCCAGTTTTCACCAAATACAATCAGTTATAAATGTGTTATAAACTGGTAATTGAGACATGCAATATCGAATTATAACTTCAAGATAACAAGTGCTTGTCAAAAAGGTTGAATACTTCACAAACAACAATAAAACGCGTTTAAAACTGGATGTTTTAAAAGCAATTAATATATAACTTATTTACAACTGGATTTATTTTTATTTTTCATGCAAGATGTTGCAAGTGTTACTTGGGGAAAGCGAAATGGAACATTGCGAAACGGAACGCGGAATCGAAACAAAACAGCAAATAAGACTGGGAGAAACATGCATTTCTGATGCTGATAGGGTTACTAGAAGTGCAAATTTAAAATACACCCCGTTAATATGCATGTTCCAAGTCCAAGTGTCGTTCACGGTATTACTGTAAAATGTAATCTAGAAATGATCGAAGTTTCCGCAGATTTCTCTAAAAGCACACTGTTAACCCCTGGATTGCTGCATGTGCTATTCGACAAGATCGAGTATATGTGCGCAACAAGTGGCGGTACTACCAACTAAGAAACATTTAAATTTTGTCTGCTTGTCTGTGATCATACCATCAGTATGGCAAGTTAAGGTAATCTGCGAAAGTACTTGCATTTTTCTCAGGTTCTTTTGATATAACTGCAATCACTCTGTCATACTCGAAATGTGCCACGACCAAATTGGCACAACGACGCCCTATACTCTCTCTAACCAAAGCGCAGGGAAACGTCATGTACATTATTTACAGTGAACTTGATTTATGGACCCTGATATCGAAATAGGCTATATCACGTAATATAGGCTGTACACCGTATGAAAAATTCATGTAATTTTCTGCGAGATATAGCGGACATAAAATTAACGCTAGATTTGACATAAATTTAAGCGATATTTCGTGTAACTTTAAGCGCATAAATTAACAATATTGTATGCAAACTTGTAAACGATTTCGCTGTTTATGCCAAGTATAGCTCAAAATTAAACGAAGGGAGATTATACGCAATAGTTAAATTTCTGAATTTTTTTTCTGTGTAGTGTGAACGAGGATTACATGTTCTGCCGGAAGTTTATGTATACACATAGTGTAATGAGCATAAACTCACCTGCTCGTTCGTTCCGGTTGAAGGTGCATGATAGTGAGAGAGATGCACGCTGAAACAATGCGTGCCTCACAAGTTTCATCCTACCTACATAACTAGCTCATGCGCATTCATGGCACTCAGATATTGTTGTAGACACACAGAAAAGAGAACAACATTATATTTGATATGATTCCCAACATTCTCCTTATGGACTATTTATACTATCATGCAGTGACCGTGCAGCGTCTGGGCAGGGAGTTATGTTTGAAATTGGTTGTGTATGATCTTACCAATGTGATCGTACCGTTACAAACATTACGCGGAAAGGACCTCGTCCAGAAACTGCACTACACTTCACTAGTCTAGCTCTACTATACTAGCTGTAGTTGCCCCTCTCATACCAATGCAAATCCCGTCCTGTCTGTCCTGTGCACGGTGTAGTGAGCAGAGCCCTTTATGCAGCCAACCAAATGACGCCCATTTGTTTGTAAAAAGAGAGAGAGGGAGAGAGCAAGAAAGAGATAGAAATTAGGAATTTTCTGTTGCATATTACCACGTCTAAATTACACGATTGGATGTGGTCTTTTGCGATGGCGATGCCTCTCCTACACGTTCGATCAGACCAATTCATCAAAAGTGGATTTACTTAAAAGTGAGTAAAATTTTCCGAGCAAAATTCGTGGAAAACCCAGAAAAACTTCTCGATTATGAGGAAAATACATGAAAATGTTACTCATTCTCGGAGAAAAACTAATAGAATTAGTGAAACCTCTATCGGTTTTCCTCATATGAGAGAAGTTTTTCCTGGAAAAGCCAATAAAATTCAACTCACTTCTGAGTAAACCCACTTCTGACGAAATTGAGTCACCTAGTCTCAATTTTTAGTTGGTCTGATCGACCGTGTAGATGGTTAATAAGTGTCTATGTTTCAGTGGTGGCACGAGTCCTGGAGTTTAACATTTTTTCATTAACATTTGATACTTTTTGCGATAACCATTGTGACGAAACACAAAAACAAACTGGCAAGTGGCAAAAATGTCATGACATTTCTAAACTGTTTTCTGCCAGCGACAGAACATTTTCGCACAAAGAAGCAGACAAGACCAGCGGCGCGCGTGA